CGGGCACTGACAGAATTTGACAAAGACGTTCTTGGTCTCGTCGAACGCCACCTGCTCGAGGGTCTGCCCCACCAGGACTTTAACAGGCCGCATGTCCCAGTCCTCAGGGGGCTCCGCGCTCAGCAGGTGGGGCTGCGGGGACAGCCGGGATGGCCACAGCCCAGGGTGAGGGGTGCCAGGGTCCCAAGGGACACAGTGCAGGACCAGGCCAGGGCTCTCCAGGCTGCAGCAAAGGATGCTCCTGTGCTGCCTTTTGGACCACCTCTGCCCCTCTGCTGCTGTCCCAGCTGCGTATGTCTCCACAGCAATCGTCTCCTGCCTCTTTTCCCACAAAACACACCCCCCCTTCGAAATCCTCAGGCCTGGCAGCACAGTGAGCAGGTGGCTGGTGTTCACCGCACAACTGCCATCATTAGGCTTCAGAGTTAACAGTCCACTGCTCACCACAGGAAAGCAGCCTTGGTGCTGACTGGCACGATGCCGCATCCCTCACCTTCACCTTGCCATCCAGCACTTTCTGGATGAAGGTGTGTATGGCAGCATCCGAGAAGGTGTCCTGGTCCATCCGGTACTTGCGGTTGTTCTCCATCTTGATGAGGCGCAGGGTGGGGGCGTCAGCAGGCGTCAGGCCGAAGAAGGACAGGACGTTGGCGCCGTGCCCGGTCACGTCCACCACCACGAAGAGCACCTGAGTGGGGTCAGGCAGCATGGATGCCAAAAAAAAACGCCCCCGCCATGGCACCTCCTCACCTTGCCCCGGAAGGCACGAGCAGCTGCCCGAAAGCCGTCCCGCAGCGTCAGCTGTGCCGATGACGACTTGTTGAGGAATAGCAGCATGTGGTGGGGGATCTTGGCACCAAAGATCTGGTCGGAGGTCTGAGGGGTAGGAGGAGGGTGAGGGCGAGGGGCCGTGGCCCTGGCGGGATGGGGATGGGACCGCGGCCGGGCTGTACCTCGCTGGTGAACTCCATCACCAGCTCCAGGCTGTGGACACGGAGCAGCCGGGTGAGCTCGGTCACATCCAGCCCCTGCG